CTTTATATTATTTTTGATTAATATAGCCGAACCGCCGCGAGCCCTGCCACTTGGGTGATTTGAATTATAAGTAGTGTAGTTATAAATTTTGAAGTAGTTTTTTTCAGTGAAGTGAGTTTCTGAGATTAATAAGATATCTATTAAGTTTAACTTTAAAAAACATTCTTTTTCATTTTTGTGAGATATTAAACCGTTGGCATTCCATTCAGCAATTTTAATTATTTTTGCCATTGCTTTTGTTGTTGACTAACGTGGATAACATATTTATTATTATGGTGTTCTGTTGCAAAAGCTGATTGAAGATATTTTTAAATTCTAAAATAAGTGTTGCTAAAGAATCAGAATCAGGATTTGAAGGTGAATGATTAGAAGCAGAGTAATTGTTTTTTGCAATGTCTGCATAGGATGAATTTTGAATTGTTGGATTTAAGGCCGGAGAAATGTTGTTTATTTTATTATAAGAATTAGAATTATTAGAATTTTTAAAATTTTGGTTATTTGGATTTGGATTTATGACTGATTGATTTACTGGAGTTTTGTTTCTTTGTTCTTTAATTTTTTGGAAGTATGAGCAACCGCGATAATTAGCTGGATGAGCACCGTCGCAAAAATAACAACATGCCGGAGCATTCGGATCTTTGGTACAAGCTATAGTATTATGATTGTCACCGCATTTTAGGCAAGCAAATGGTCTATTGCAGTATTTTTTGGTGTGATTAAAGAGTTGACAGCGAGTGCATTGTATAATGTTGTTGGACTTTCTCGGTGGTTCGACGCGTATTATGCAGTTGAATAATTTATAAATGTTATAAATATTTTTGTTATTTCTATTTGGTTCCAGATCAACAAAAAACATATTAAGAGGTTCTTTTGTTATTCTATGTCTAATATTTAGGATATTACGTACGACATGACCCTGTTTTAATAGTTCTAATTTAATTGCATCTGTGCTTGTTGAAAAGTGTACATTTCTAAGAACAACCCTATAAGCCTTCTCTTCTTTTAATTGATATGTATGATATACGGCATTAGTTTCTTTTAGATGTCTGGATAAAGTTCGAAAATGGTCGACAGAATTACATAGAATTTTAAATGTATTGTTAGCTAAACTTCTCAGGAAATATTGATCGTGCGGAATTATTTCATTTAATTGATTAGACATATCATTAATATCGTCAACTCCGTAAATAAATATTGGAGGGGGCTTACTGACTGGAGCCGGTTTAACTGAGTTGTCATCATTAGCTGTTTCTATTGTTGAAAGGGCCGAAAATTGGTTTTGAATTTTGACATCTATTCCTAATGGTTCAAATGAAGTTTTTCTTTTTTTGAAATTGACTACTTGCCATGAATTAGGAGGTTTCTTGACATCAGAATGTGGTTGAGTGAGGCTTGTAGATGCACTATTACTAGATGATATTACTTCCTGTCTTGAGTCAGAAACTGATGAAGTTGAACGCAGCGAGACCTTTTCCGATGTAAACATATTGGTCCGACCTCCTGGCACTATTTGAAAAAAAAAAAAAAAAAAAAAAAGTGCTGCTGAAAGTCATCGTCTGTTGGTGGAAGCTTACGGTGACCATGCTCTGTCCGAAAGTGCAAGGAGTGGTTTCGACGATTCAGAAATGGCAATTTTGATTTTTTTTGCCGAACTGCAAGCATTGCTCGATGACGATGACAGTCAAACTCAAAAACAACTTGCAGAACAATTAAATGTGACACAAGCATGCATTTTCTTACGTTTAAAAGCCATGGGCAAGAATCAAAAGTGTGGAAAATGGGTGCCACATGAATTAAACGAAAGACAACAAAAAAACGAAAAACTACTTGTGAAATTCTTCTCGAAAGGCACGAAAAAAAGAGCTTGTTTCATCGAATCGTGACTGGGGATGAAAAATGGATCTATTTTGAGGATCTCAAACGCAAAAAATCATGGGTCGATCCTGGTCAACCCTCAACATCGACTGTGAGGTCAAATCGCATTGGGAAGAAGACAATGCTCTGTGTTTGGGGGATCAGGAAGGTGTGATTTATTATGAGCTTCTTAAACCAGGCGAAACTGTTAATACCCAACGTTATCGACAGCAAATAATGAATTTGAATGATGCATTGCTTGAAAAGCGACCATCATGGGTCACCAGACACGAAAAAGTGATTTTCCAACATGATAACGCCCCAGAACACAAATCAAAACCGGTCAGAGACACCATTGCCGCACTTCACTGGGATGTCTTACCCCACCCGCTCTACTCACCAGACTTGGCGCCTTCTGACTTCCACTTGTTTTCTTCCATGGGACACGCGCTTGCTGAACAGCACTTCGGTTCTTACAAAGAAGTGGAAAAATGGCTCGGTGAATGGTTTGCTTCAAAAAAACAAACGCTTCTACTGGCAAGGCATTCACAATTTGGCGGAAAGATGGCAAAAATGTGCGACAAACGATGGCAAATACTTTGAATGAAATAAATTGTACCATTTTCTTACAATAAACGTGTTTTTTTAAGTTAAGAGAGGGCGGTTTGATATTAATACACCTGGTATATATATATATATATATATATATATATATATATATATTATATAAATATACATTTACATAAATAAGGATTATCTTATCCGTGTCTACAGATACAATTAACAATTGATCATTCAACATATACATTCACATAATTGAGGATTAACAATTGATCATATATCTAATTTTTACAATAAGCTGTTTACTTTCGGGTTGAAAAGATGATCATTGTACCTAATCTATTGTAAGAAGTACATAATATGCAAAAGCGTCCAGTGCATCTGTGCACATACAACTATTATATGTAATAGGATAATAGTAATATAATTTTACAGATTTCTTAACACAATTATTTTTTATGCATATTGTTAGTTTCGAATATCATTCATAATCAGTATTGTAACTAACGAGATTGGGGAAAAGCTGGTTTACATGTAGATTGAATGCTTTGAAAGATACCATACCCTACAATATTATAAAATTCAATTTTTATATTGTGTATTTAATGATAATAGAAGTAATTATCGTAATGTTAAATTTTATTTTGTTTTTCTGTCTATTCTCAATATTTATTAGTTTTGTAAGTTATCATTATATTGTTGTGGATCCGTTGCCAACAATTATGTTGCGTCACGCCAACGATGTCAACATCTAAAATTAGGTTCTTCTGCTGCTATCATAAGCTTTTTCACTGTGGAAATATTTAATTAAACATTTGAAGACATTTAATAACTTTATTTACTTCATTATTCGGTTACACTTAATTCACAATTGATATTTTGAAATAAGACTGATGTGAACTGTTTGGCGTCTACTCGAGAATGAACGGTTGGCTTCGTCAACTCAGGGTTTTTATAATCTCTGATGATGACGTAACCATCCTTCTAGAAGGTTTGCTACGAAATGATTCATACTTGCTTATTTGTCATCGAAGAAACCGTTACGAATGACTCAACTATTCATTTTAGACGTAGTTGCGGTTACAGACCGTTATTCTGACTGCTGCACGTGCATGTTTATCTCTGATACTTTGTTGCATACAATATTGCAAGCTTGAGTCATACTAACTGCGTTATTCATATTGACTGTTATATCGAATTAATAATATTATTTATAATTATTGCAAAGGGTGAATACCACTACAATATATTATACGCGGTGTTAAAAATTTTTAAATGTTTTTTATTATGATTATAATTGTATATTTTATAATTATTAAGTATTTTTCTTTTTGATATAAATTAGCCGATACTAAATACGTAAATGAATACTTTCGTTACAAAACGATACTTTTTTATAATTGTTGAGTATTGTTCTTTTTCATATAAATTAGCCGATACTGAATTCATAAATGAATACTTTCCTTACAAAACGATACTATTTTATAATTATTAAGTAATTTTTCTTTATGATATAAATTAGCCGACACTAAATTCATAAATGAATACTTTTGTCACAAAACAATACTATTTTATAATTATTGAGTAGTTTTGCTTTTTTGTATAAATTAGCCGATACTTAATTCATAAATGGATACTTTCGTCATAAAACGATACTATTTTATAATTATTGAGTATTTTTCTTTTTGATATAAATTAGCCGATACTAAATTCATAAAAGAATACTTTCGTCACAAAACGATACTATTTTATAATTATTTAGTAAAGTATTTTTCTTTTAGATGTAAATCAAATTTGATATTAGTATCGAATAATTATTGTTTCAAACTTCTCAAAATATTGAAAATGATGCTGATTTAACAGCACAAATACAGGCAATAGGATTTATCATAATATTGTAATTCGATCTGTAGTAAGTTTTAGATCTTTCTCGCACTTATGTTTGATTTTGATGAAATGTACTCAATATTCGATACTGAGTAGTATCGATACTTTTGCCACGATACTTTGTTGGTATCGATCTTTTGCCTCGATTCCTTTTTCTGTACTCAGTATCGTTACTTTGCCTCGATACACTATAGTGCGTCATAGGTAAGTCTTGGCGCGTGATCTGTGTCTGTGTGCCCCCGCGCCCCTTTCACTTGTATTTTGAAATAAAAAGATTTATACTCGCTTAAATAATGCGTGTCAAATAGAGTGTCCGGCGCTAGGTGCCGTCTGGCGTTACGGGACTTCTCCCTATCAATAATGTAGAAAATTTAAAAAATTCGATAAAAAAATTTTTAATTAATAGTTTTTTTTAGTAAAAATTAAAAAGTTTTGTAAAAATTTTCTTGGTGATATAATTTCTTGTAATAAATGAAAATGAAGTTGAAATATCTCTTCTTTTTAATTTAAAACAAAAATCTCAACAAAGTTTTGTTTTCCAACTCGTAATTTTAAAGTAATATGTTGGTTTACAATAATTTCTACAATAAGAAAAACTGTTAGTCAATTATATTATTTCTTTGATATTAATTAAACTAACTTAATGATTATGAAATATTTACTTTTTACTAATATTCAAAAAACTTAAAAATACTCACCTTAGCAGCATATAAAGTCACGTTTAATAGTGTTGGATGTTCGTCCACAACTACAAAGTCAATTTCTCGAGGAGCGTACCCTTCTGCGTAAACCTATTGACAAACATCAGTTTTAAACCCCTGTGTATATAAATTTATAATATATGTTGATTATCTAAATAAATTAGAGTTTCATTTATTAGGTATAAAGTATCCCGCAACTAAACAAAATTGTACAAGAATACTATAAATATAATTTAGCTTTTTCTATATGATAATATAATTCTATTAACAAGTATATTGAACTATTAATTAACCTCCAATTTATATACTCCTGGCAATAAAATTCTCCAAAATTCTCCAAATCGAGTAGTCGTAAATCCCACATCACGCCCCTTTATCTTTAAAGATGCCTTCTCAACTGCTCCGCCGTGGCTATCAAATACAAATCCTTGCACACCTCGATGTGCTTCGGCCAAGAATTTTACTAAAGACTTAAAGAAAAAAATATATTAACATAGCACTATGCTTATACAATCTATCAAAATTTTATAAATTTAATAATGAATATAGTATCTCTAAATTTATAATCGGACATTTATTGTTAATAAGGTCATACCATTTGATTATCTTCCCAATATTTTCGCAATTCATTTGCGGGCGGATATTTGCAACAGCTTAATTCCAATGTTATTTCCATACAACCATACCTTAGAGGAAAGAAATAATGGTTAATAATACAGTTATTTTGTTCTAAAGTTTAAAACGCAGCGTGCTGTAAACTACAGTTGATCATCTTAGGTGTCTTCTTACCAAACGTAGTTATAATCCTGCATGCCGCCCGTGAGAGGATACCATGCTGCACCATTCGTAATACCTCTGTCGAATCGCGGACCTGCGCCCTTACATGCTACCCCGTGCGACATCTTCGCATGATTCGAACTGTATGTTAAAGCCAAATGCTTGAAAACGTCATCGTCAGGTGTTAAAGATGGTGAAGATGCATAGCTCTGGAATACTAAATCATATGACTGAGTTATTTTCACTAACATTTTCAAAACACATTAACAAAAAGACAATTGATATTTGTAATAATAAATGTTTTGGTTAACTATATTTTCATAGCTATATTGATTTGAACAAATATTTAATATTTACCAGCATTTTTTCTCTTGGTCTTATAATATCCTAACAGTTCAAATTGATTCTAATATAGCAGATATGCAAAGATTTTAGATAAAAACGTTTAGAATTAAAATAAAAAAAATTACAATAAATTATATTTTAATGAACTTTTATATAAAATTTCTAGTGCAATTGAGCAAATGCTTCAATACAAAACATTTTTTTTTTCATAACATATATCAATGTTTCACAAATATTTTCTATTTGCTCACATTTAACATAAAAATTTACTAAAAAATATAATTTATGTATTATTCATATTCCATCAATAAATGTGTCCAAGAGTCGTGAAACACATTTCTTGCATGAATTTGTTTAGTTTCTGGCCCTGACCATAAAATATATATTTGATAAATTAAAATTCAGTTAAACGCAAATAATTTCATGAACTATACTATTAATATTTAATAAAAATAAACTACAATAATCTCAAAAATACATTTTGTTTGCTACATTTTCTACCAATAACTTGTCACCAATTCACAATTGGCAACATAACAATACATAATATTTGTTAATTAATTTAGCATATAATCTTCTATATATATAAAAATAAGTCGGGTTTTCCTTCCTGACAAAATAAAAGAACGCACGAACCGATTTCGACAATTTTGCATTAGTTGGAAAGGTCTCGGGCTCCGCAAGGTTTATAGCTAAGAAAATTAGTGGTGTATGGCATCGTGCCCTAATGCAAATTGCTGGAACTTCACGCACCGTAATTAAAAATTCGAGTAATGACATTAGTGAGAATTATCAGAATTATGCTTGGTTAAGTCAACGAACAATTCATGCCGCAAAAATAATGATGTACACGCACTGAATTTCACCATTCAATCAAAAATTGCTGGCGATTTGGTGACATACCAATGATTCCGTCTGGTCTTCCGTTTGATTTCAAACGATTGCAATTTCCAGTTTGCCTTGCGTTCGCAATAACAAGTCGCAAGGCCAATCGCTTAGTGTTTGCGGGATAAATTTCAAATAGATTATTTAGAAAATCATTGTTTTTCACATGGGCAGTTATACGTTGCTTGTTCACGAGTTGGAAAACCATCCGCTTTGTTTGTGTTAACGTCAGACCAAAAAACAAAAAATGTGGTTTACCAAAGAGCACTTCAATGAAACGGATAATTTGCGGATTCACTTTCATTTACTTAGAGAAGTTCAACTAAAAAAACACTTCATGTTTGCAATCAAAATAAATTCATTACTGTTGTATAATAAAACTCAAATTTTTCGATTTCAAATATAAAACAAACAAAAAATTTCTTCATCTTTCTCACGAAACCATCTGGTCGCGAAACGGAGTTCGTCGGGTTTGCTAGTCTTCTATATAAAAATGGAGCTCTCGATCAAATGATTCGGTAAAACTCGAAAACGGCTAAACCGATTAGGCCAGTCTTAGTCTTGAAAAATTCGTGCCAATCCAGAGATGGTCGGAAAGGTGAGATATTATTTGAAAATCGCGTAGAAACTTTACATTTTTAATTTGAAAATTTTTGTAGAAACGTAGTAATTTGAATAAAACAATGAACGGTGGCAAATGTCAAACGTTTTTGACAGATGATGTTCAATTACTTTTAATAACATGTTTTACGTTTATATTTTATAATTATGATTAAATTGTAGTAAGTAGTTTTATTTGTATACAAAAACGTTATTAAACGGGCCTCAAGTGTTACTATAAACTAAAAATTTCAACTTTTTTGAAATGTTAATATGAAAATGCACTTCTTGCAATATTTTTCTCAAACACGGTTCTCTGAAAGATCTCATTTGTATAATTAAACCCATATACCCATTGGTTTTTATAAAACATTTTCTAGGTTATAATATTTTTTATTTATGTTATTTTAATTCAGAACCTAAATTTGGTATCGATCAAAGGGGCATTTTGTCGAATAACGTTTTCCCAGTTATAATTTCCTAGAATTTATCGAAGAATAGATAGTAATATATGAAGGTTCGGGGTTAAAAAGGACCACCAGCGATGTGTCAAAAATCAGTAAAGTTAAGCAATGTTTAACAACAATATTTGAAAGTAGAGGGAATAAGAATAAAATAAGACATTAAACCTGTCTATGGAGTAAATAGGTCTAGATAACAAATTTTTGAAAGACATCAAAAAAGCACATTTCTACAATGATAAAATAGCTGCCAGTTTTACTGAACGTAGTCAGATAGTTGTTTGTTTGAAATGTGTTGTTTGTTGTGATATAATTCTGTGCCTCGCCCTGCTCTACATATATACTTTTCATTAAATTTACGTTAATTCATCGAATGTTATTTGAAACTTTTCAAAAAGCAGGTCAAAGTAGAAATAATTAATTCATTTTCTATCTCTCCTCGCAGAAATTTGAAATTTTTTTATAAGCTCAGTAGTATTACTTACAATTATACACAAAATCCAGAATCTAAAAAGAATCTAAAAAACGTGAAACGTAATGAATAAGTCGAAAGACCAAAAATGACTAGGATTTGATTATACCATGTTTTCTATAGAAAGTGTATAAATCTTCCAGTTTGATTGTATAGACACACTAATGGGGTTTATTGTTTTTATAATATCTAATTGTATACAGCATTCAAACAACACATCCTTATGCACTTAAAGTATTAATATTTTTGATTCTCTAGAATGGTTTAGGATATACCTTATTAGCAAAACATCGTTTGCCGGGTCAGCTAGTAATATATATATAATCATCAACTGTTAACTTCAATCAACCCCATACTGGACTATCATAGAAACGTATTATAAACCGTGTATTCAAATATTACAATATAATCATAGAACAAATGATCTTTACACTGTAGCGTAAGATGTACTCCTCAGCAGAGGGTCTACTGTTCGTAGATCGTTCGTTCGTGTTCGTAGATCGTTAGTCTAGACACAAGTCAAACTGAAATTGAAATTATCAAAAATATAACATTTCGACTATAAATTAAGATTTTTAATATATCCTACCGCCAAGGTTGGATCTGAATGCTCTCAGAGAACAAATCAAATTTTAAATCTGTTCAGTATTCGAGGAGCCTATCGCGCCCAAAACAACGTCACACTAACTTAACACCACACACACACACACACACACACACATATATAATATATATTATATATATATATATCGGCGCGCAATGACGTAGACGCGCGATTTCGTGTGGACGGGGTCGCAAGTTCAAGCCCCTGGTCTGGCAAACCTAGCATCGGACAGCAACGATGTCGTCTTTCACTTGAAAATATATATCAAAAATATGTTTTCAATTGAAAATAAGCCAATTGCAAGCACTGCGGTATGAAATGGCTTGGCAAAATTCACACACTATTCTTCCCTGAATCGAGTTGGTGTTTTACTCACAATCAGCTCACGGCCTGCCCGAGGGCAGTACTACCCATTACTATATTACGAGATATATTATAGATTACATTGATATTATAGTTAATGTATTTTTTTATTTTTAAGTCAAAAATCAATCCAATCATCAAAAATATTTCAAAACAATTTTTATATTATTCATTTTAAATATATCTGTTCTAAAAATACAATTAAAATAAAGTTTGAATTGCTACTATTTAAGGGTTTTGTGTTTTGATTCTAAGGTTTTTGTATTCAAGTTCTTATCCCAATTGTAATGTGAAATGCTATTATTAGTCGTATTAATTTTAATTAGGTTTAATACTTACGAGAACAAAGTACAGATGATCTGCAAATACCTGAGCAGCACATTAATGATTTAAAAAAATTATTAACAAAAAATATTTTGAAATGGTATATTGAAGTTAATAGATTTAAAGCATGAACATTTTAATAAATAACATATTTTAGTGATGAATAATATATTATGAATTCGCAAAATAAGAGCATATGTTAA